AACTCATCTGAAGAAGGAAGAAGAAGTTCATAATGAGAAGACCTTGTTCAACCTTTTGCTCAAATCCATCACTCGATGAATCAGCTTTTCCAGAGATAGTTCATAATGAGAAGAACTCATCTGAAGAAGGAAGAAGAAGTTCATAATGAGAAGAATTTGTTCAACTTTTTGTTTGAATTCATCACTCGATGGATCAACTTTTCCAGAGAAAGTTCATAATGAGAAGAACTCATCTGAAGAAGGAAGAAGAAGTTCATAATAAAAAGAGCTTGTTCGACCTTTTGCATGACTCTATCACAGAAGGAGATATATCATCATCAGCATTTCCAGAAGGAGTTCATAATAAGAAGAACTCATCTGAAGAAGAAGAAGTTCACAATGAGAAGAGCTTGTTCAACCTTTTCTAGATTACATCACAGAAGGAGATAAATTGTCATCCCCAGTGAAAAAGTTCATAATTAGAAGAACTAATCCCAAAGAAGAAATTATTCAACATTGCCATCATAATCAAGTGAAGTCAAATGGATAAAAAATTTATTATCTTTTCGTCTTTGCTCTATTCTTGTTAACACAATAATGAGCAAAGAGGGGCAGCTAAAGATACTAATTTTTTACCCATTTTTTTATTATTGATATTATTATTATTATTTTATTTATTATTATTATTATTAAAATTATTATTACAAATAGGCCAAAATCGGGGCCGAATTACAAATCTGGAAGCCCAACCAGATGGCCCAACTAAAACCCTAAACCAATTTGGGGTTTCAACTAGGGTTTCTAAACCCTAGCACCCCAGCCGCCTCCAAGATTCCAGAAGGCCAGCCGTCGCCTCTGCCAGGTGGTCCAACGTCCAGCTGTCGACACTCTAGTGCCACGCCACCTCGCCGCCGAAGCCTCTAGAAGCTCTGTTGCCACGACTCTGATCGTCCACGTTGTTGCCTATGGTGAGTCACCACCATAGTTATGGTGACTCACCGAAAGCTTCCTAAGGGACCGGTTCGACGAAAGCCTCGATGGTGGCTATAAAAGCCACCACACCTGCAAAATAAAAAAAAACAGAGAGGAAGAATCGGAGATAACAGAAACGAGAGCAAGAACCCGAACAGACCATAACAACAAGCCAAACAGAACCCATAGCAACAAATCAAAAAGCAAAGAGAGAATAGAGGGAGAAAACTTACCACCGAGGAAGCTACGCCGTCGTCAGAACCTCCACACGCCGCAAAAGAAATTGAAATACCGAGAGTATTTCTGTAGATCTAGGTAACTACAAGGCTTTTTAGAGAAAAATGACATTGGATTCATCTTTAGGACGTTCTGATCTTTATTTTGGGAATTTTGAAATTTTTCGGCCACCAGCAGCAGTGGCCGGCGGTGGTTGTCGACGCCGGAGCACGGCTGTCGGCCGGTGGTCTCTCTCTCAGTTTTAGAGAGAGGCGAGAGAGTTAAAAATTCTCTCTCAGTTAGAGAGAGAAGAGAGAAAGAAGAAACGAGGATGCTGGCCCGAAGGGCCAGCCGTTTAGGGTATTTAAATACCCTCTCCCAAACGACGCCGTTTTAGGGGAGGGTGTTTCTGTAATTTCATAAAGGGTAAACCCCGTCCGCAGTGCTTCAAGTTTGTATACCTTGCAATTTAGTCACTGAAAGTAATTTTTGCCTATTATAATTTAGTATTCGAAGTTTATTTTATTTTATTTCAGTCATGTCCAGTATAATTATATATTTAGGATGAATACTGAATTTAGTCCCTTATAGTTTAGTAATTATTATTTTAATCACAAACAACATGTTTTAATTTGTTTTAATTTAATATTTGAATTCAATATATGTTTATTTTAGTCACTACATTAATAAATAGGTAATATAGTATGTTTAGCCACTATATTTTTAAATAATTAATTATGAATTAGGTATTTAATTCTATTAGGTTATAATTTAGTCACTAATTTTAATTTTTATTTATTTTTACGAGTTTTATTTATTTTAAATATATAGTTTTAATTTTGTTCATTATATGTTAATTTTATATGTTTACTTTTAATTATTATTACTATTATTATTATTATTTAGCCATAAATATATATTTATAATATTTATTTTATTTATTAAAATCTTATTTAATTACTTTTAACTTATTTTAATCATGTTTTAATATTTATTTATTTTTCAATATTAAGAAAGGGCAGTCTTAAAACAACTGGATGTCTATTTTCTGATATTTTTAAATAAATAAATATCCTATTTTATAAATTATATATTAATTGTTTTAATTATTTATTTATTTTTTAATATCGAAGAAAATAACTGTCTTAAGGCACCTAGAAGTCTTTTTCTGATATTTTTAAATAAATAAATATTTTATTTATAAATTTATATAAATTAATAAATTTACTTAAAATCATAATTATAATTTTGAAATAATAGGATTATAAATTAAATATATTTTAAATTTTTAAATTTCTAATAATAGAGATAATTTATAATTAAAAAGTACCAATTTTGGGCGTTGTAGGGGTGATAATCCTTCCCTAAACGTAACCGACCACGAATCCCTTTTTATTATTAAAAAGAACGAATTTTTGGTTAAAACGCATATCAGTTTATCTTTTAATCGATGTTTTCTTAAAAACTCTTTTAAAGAATGATTTTTAGGTATTCGACCTACCTGACCCAAAAGGCCGATGGCGACTCCCAAATTTTAAAAATCATTTATTCACATCACTTTTCCCGCCAAATAAATATTTCGTGCCCGGACGAAAATCGGTTACGACAAGGTGTTCACTGGGATAATGTTTTTTTAATAAAACGTGGAATTGGGTATGTTGGTATATTCATTGTTTCAGATTGAATTCTTACGCGTAAAACAACGTGAGCAAACTTTGTTATGGACCCTTCAATGCCATGGTTGTTGCAACAACGATCAATCCACAATCCATTCTGAAATGCCTCCAAAATCTCCACAGACTTGATGGACCTACCAGAAATCCATTTTGATATTCAGTAAGACAAACCTAATTATTCTCCTTTCTCTCGTGGATTGTTCTTCCCCTGGTCAGGCATTCCCCTTTCTTTATTCTCTAACTCCAAAAAAAGGCATATTCTCTATCCAAATGGCGGTACAATTCTTTGGCCGAAGCCATAATTGTCAACAGTTGATCAGTATTACCAGACAAAAAGCACCAAGAACAAGCCCTAGTGAGGATTATGCTACTCTTTTATAAGGTTAATGAACAAAAGGGTGCAGCAAACCAAGGGAATGCACGTCGTAATTCATAATAACTAGATCACAGGTTTCGAGAAGAAGATGAGCCTTTGGTTGGTTGATGATCATCCCCTCGAAGGGCCCACTAGGGGATTAAAAAGAGTTGCGTTTGCCAGGAGTCAAACCTAGTTCTATTGTTTGAAAGTAAATTATCCTAATCGTTGGATTACAAATGCTTTTACTTGAAACCTTAATTAATTATTATATATAAAATATCATCTCGATAAACACTGTAGCAAAATGTCGGCCAAGAGTGGTTGATAAACAACTTCCAATATAATTATTTCTCGGTAATAAAAAAAGAAGTGGATATATGTTATGTTATATAGTGTCATAATATAAAAATTTACTATCCTTATTCTATTTATTATAGTAAATCAAAATTCTTTCCCACTTTCTTAATTATTTTATTTTAATAATCGTCTTCCAACGTATAAAGGAACATAGTTTATGTTTTATTTTTCTTTTAAAAACGAAGTCTTATTCCAATCTTTTGATATTTTTTTATCCACCAAATTTCTCTTACAAACTCTTTTTCACCCCGAGCATAATCGAACATCATTTTCACACAAAAAAAATCTCAAAATTGACATATATGATAATGTTCGATTTTTATCGTCTTCATTCTTTGTTGGAATAATGTCAACTCAAGATATGATGATTTTTTCATCGCTTTGGTTATGGTAGTTTTTCCCTTTACACAAGCTCTTTCTTGGTTAGCCCCTTTCTCTTTCTTTCGTTCTTTATTTTTCTTTTTTCCCTTTTTAATTGTTGTTAATGACCACAATATTGCATTTGGTTCAAGATTTGAGTTGAATTTTAGTTTTGGAAATATGAATTAGTTTAGTGGTATTGAGTTTTATGGTGCTTAATGGTGGTGGGATAAAATTGAGGGTTGTGCTTGGTTTCACAGTGAGGGATCATTAAGTGGCTCAAATGGTTCTCAAGTGAGTGAGGATTTAATGACAGCGAATTAAAATGCGACGAAAATTTAATAAAAATATTAATAAGAATCTATCTTATAACTCAAAAGTTAATAAAAATGACATATCATCTCAATGTTAGAGAGTTAACATGAGAGTGAGCAAAAGAATTAAATCTTCAAAGTTCAATGAATAAATTGAAAATTTTAAAGTTTAGTGATCAAAATGAGAGAAAAGAAAGTTAAGGTATGATTTATGTAGTTTACCCATATTAAAGTTAATTTTTTTAATATTGGTCAAAGAATTACCAATATTTCAATAAATTTTAGTCAAAATCAGTATGCTGACGTGCCGATCTGTACGATGTGCAACAGAGCTTGTCCTTCCTCTCACACTCTCTCTCTTCCTCCGGTGACGAATATATCACCAGTCAGGGTGTGAATCGCTAATATCACATGGTGTGACTATTCTCAAGCTCACAAGCAAATCAAATCTCATCATTGTGGGTAGGTATCCAATGCAGAATAAGCGTGAACCACACAAGAGTCAACAGAGCGTGAGACAAGTTTTTATTATTTGGGAGGAAGTTTGGACACGTGTCAGTAAGACGGAGACGCAGCGAATCGTTCGGGATCTCCGATGGAGATCGGAGTCTCTATTCTCCAATCCATAATATTTGAATTATTAATAATTAATTTAAAAAAAAAACAAAAACGAAAATAAACTTTCCCCTAATAAAGTAGTTGTAGTCAAGATACTCCTATAAAACAGCCAGCGATTCTTGCCATTTTGACTCTCCTTAGCAACTGAAACTCTCCTGTTTATCACTGGCCTCTCGCTCTTTATACTCCAACAATTTGCTTTCAAAATATTGTTTCTTCACAGATTTTTATATCTTTCCTTGTTTTTTTTTTTAAATCCCCACTTTTGAAAATTTTGTTCTGGAGATGAAGCCAGTAGGTCGATTTCCGATGCAATATACAGAGCAAAAAACTGTAACTAGCAAACTGGTCAAGCCATCGAACAGGTTGTTTCCGATGGAATTCAAAGCTAAAGCCCCTAAAATTGTAAGGATCTGTGTCACCGATTGGGATGCCACGGATTCTTCCGGCGACGAATGTGAACGGGCGAGGCCACGTAAGGTGAAAAGGCATACAAACGAAATCAGGATCCAGAATTGTTCCGCTGTCAATTCCTCCAAGGCAGCAAACAAGCAAAACAGGCAAATATTTAATAAGATCAATCAGGTAAATATGAGAACAAAGAAGCAACAACAGGGTTTATCAAACGGCATCAAGTATCGTGGAGTTCGACAAAGGCCGTGGGGGAGATGGGCTGCCGAGATCAGAGATCCTACGAGTCGAACCAGGGTCTGGCTCGGTACCTATGACACTGCTGAGGAAGCTGCTTTGGAGTATGATCTAGCCGCGATTCGAATCAAAGGTCCTGATGCTCTCACAAACTTCGCGAAACCTCCGGTGAGACCTTCTACACCGGAGGTTGGTTTCGAAATGATTTCCGGGTATGAGTCGGCTCAAGACTCCCAGTCCCGCAGTTCACCTACATCAGTTCTCAGATTCCAGTCTAACGAAGAAGCTGAACTCCAAACGGACTCCAAAGATGACTCTTCGGAGCGCATCGACAGTCAGTGGAAACCCCTCGATGAACTCCAAATAGAACACGATAACTTATCAGATGAGTATTTATTAGTAGATCCGGGTGTTTTATGTGATCACTTCAATGCTGATAATCTCGAACCTGTGTTGTTTGATGAAATGAGGTTACCAGAAGATCGTTTGGAACTTGATTACGTTGATATTTCTGTAAAATTAGATGTCGATTTCGGGTCTTGTACGTGGGACGTCGATAATTACTATTAAAATCAGCGTAATTCTGCCTGGATACAATGCTCAAGTATTGGAATGATATGGTAAATACATGGTAAATTCCGAGTGGAATTTTTTATACATTTTCCACTTTTCTTTTAGCGTGTAAAGGAATGCGAAGAAAATATGTAAATTCTTGCTTCTTTTTTGTGCATGACTTATCTTCTTTTTTAATTGAATCGGTTCGGTGTGCGTTTCATTTGGCGTGGTCCTTTCGTTGTGTGCTTAGAGGATATGGCTTTTTAGTCAAAATCCATTCTTTACTTTAGATCTTTTTTTTCTTGTCTGTATTTTTTATGGGAGTCGGTGAGATATTTTTATTTTATTTTCCTTCACTATATCATATTTAATTTCGGGCATTGGAAAAGGCTGCCAAGTTTAAACTAAAGTTGGGGGCTACCATGTTCGACTGTTCGCCACCTTAGCCACTCGTTAGCCATAAAATCTTGTTAATTTCTGGATTTTATTACAAAACATGGAGCCATTATTTTCAAGCAATGGCTTCCAATCCCGTGTCATACCCCTGTTTGGTTTTCCTTGTGTCGATGCTTTAAAAGCCCCCTCGATCAAACAGGGAAAAAAATATAATGACCTTGTTGGAAATCTCACACTTTGATAGCCTAAAAACAGTGCTCGTTAGTTACTTTCACTTCCCGGTTCTCGTGCTCTAAATTTCATTGCCACGGTTAAAATTATACTACCATGAATGAATATGATCTCATGTGAAATTTGTGAAGACAGAAAGAGACACGGCTTGTTCCATATTAAGAGGCATTTCATAGTCATCGTACCGTTTACTCGATGGTTTTTTTTGTCTTTAGCTTCAAAACTTAAACCAGTGAGTTCGATTGAAAAGGACAATTCATTTAGACAATCGTTTAGAGGACCCCAGTACTTTGGAAAGGATCGTTATTTTGTACAATTACAAGCTTTTTCGAACTTATGTATAAAGATAGTAACAGCAAACGTGGTTACAAAACCTACGGCTGATTTATGCCCATCATTGAATCTTGATCTGCAATTCTTTTTCCTTCTGATTTAAATTACATGCATGGTAATAAAAACAATCCAGTTGAACGTTTCTTTGCCTTTGATGCCGTGCCCCATAAATCTCATTGATGTCATGTTCTAAAAACATCCATTCCAGGGCCGAGCCTGTCAAAGGCACTTCCAGCACTTTTCACCTTTGTCACATCTTCAGCAGCTTCTGCAACAGCCTTGATCACTGTCGCCATTGAGTTAGGCACTCTTGCAACAGGCTGAATCCTCCGATGACGAATTGGAACATCTCCAGAAGATGTTGAGACAACACATCTAAGGCGCTTGGATGATGGTTCCTTTACTGAAACAGGTGAAGTTCCAACTGCATCTCGCACAGCAATATGAAGCAGCCGCCTAGGGGCATCAATGTTCTTCATAGAAACTGCTTCCCTTTTCATAGGCTGTCTCTCATCAGGTCTACACCTTTTCTTCTGAGTAGGGGGAGGAGAGGTAGATCTTCCACGGTTTACTTTACGACCGGTTTTTTCTTCAAAACGAATACTCTCAACATCAGAGCTTCGAAGAGGAGGTGGTCCAGCTGCTGCATCTCTAACTAGTCCCTTCCACTCCCTGTTGCGCCGTTTCTTGAAAATCTTGGTAGTTCCTCTTTCAGAATCAGCAGACCGTTTCTGCAATGCAGGTGGTCTGGCTGCTTCAACATGAGGTTTATCAAAAGGAATATACAGATCCAAATTTGAAGCCAAATGATACCACAACCAGGTGACGAAAGAATCGCTGTCATCCCAAAGAAAAATTTTCAACTCATCCATTGCTTCATCTTTACGTCTGCCGTTTCTCAATAACACAATCACATATTCCGCAAGATTATCATCAGTGTAGTCGCCTACAAACTCCTTGAGTTTACTCTTGACACTATCCTTCAACTTAGCTGCTCCATCTCCGCTAAAATTAACTTTAAATGTCAAATCATCAACTCCATCCACGCTGCCCATCTTCTTCGATTTCCCTTCAAAACCCTAATCTAATCTCCACCGATAAAAACTAAATATAGAAAAAAAAGAAAAACAACCAGATAATTATGCTATTCCAGAAACCCTAAATACAGGGTTCGCAGGCAACGAGAAAAGGCAGGACGCGGCGGCGCGTAAGAGGACCGGGTACCTGCGAGAAAATGAGAGAGTTTTAGGTTTGTGGCATAAGAGAATCCCAGGGTTAAAAATTTATAGACGAGGAAGTTGTGTTAGAATCGGAATAGGATATATGATCGTATCTATTTTTCTAAGGTAAATTACATTAATTCGACTTCACAATGGAGTAGGTTTTATTTAAACTATTTTTAATCAAATAATTTATTTATTTATTTAAATAATATCAATTAAATCACTTACCATCAACAAAAATATACAATTAAACAAGTTTTTATAATTACACATTTGATACTCATTATTTATATATTTATAAATTTAAACTTAATTTTAATTTAATTTAATAAATTTTCATCCAATTATTTTATGAAATAATCATTTAATTTGATAAAAAGTTTAAAAACCAAAGTGAGAATGAGAGGATTTGAGCATAGGAAAGTTGGGTTTGAAAGCTTGATTAAAGGTTGACAACATATTTCATTAAAGGTTACCTTATCGGTGAAAATTAAAGGAAATAAAAATGCGATAACCCAAATCTTCAAGGTATAAAATAGTTGAGTTAATTGTGTTATATGCCTTTGAAATATAATCTTCATTTTAAACTAGTTATTAAATTTTTGAATGTTTTAATTTCATCCCTAAATTGTGACTCATTTCAAATTAGTCCTTAAACTTTTGAACATTCTAATTCCATCCCTAAACTATGATCCTCTTTCTAAATTTGTCCCCAAACTTTTGAGTCTTCCAATTTCATCTCCAAATTCATCTAAATATGTAATTAGTTTCAACCATAGTTTAACCTAAATTTTTTTTTCAACCATACAATAATATAACTTGACCTAATGATTTTATTATCAAGGGATGTGATTATTATATATGTATAGTTTGGGGTCAAATTGGAAGGTTCAAAAAGTTTAGGTACCAATTTACAATAAGGTCATAGTTTGGGGATGAAATCAAAGTGTTATAAAGTTTGAGGACTAATTTAAAATAATTATCATAATTTAAGGATGAAATTAAAATATTTAAAAAATTAAAGATCAATTTAAAATGAGAATCATACTTTGAGAATAAGTGACGTAGTTAACTCAAAATAGTGTGAATTATCACTTAGCTAAGTTCAAAACTTAACTAAAATTGATAATATATTATATATATATATATTAAATTGTAACCTATTAATATAATAATTTAATAATATATTCTTAAGATAAGAATAAAATATATTTATTAAGTTAAGATAAAAAAATAAAGTTAAGATGTAAAAAAATATTATTAATTAAACGATAATATTGATTCGGTGGTTATACGAGCTTTTATCTCATAGTATGTCTCAAATTTGAGTCTTTCCCTCACTTTCTTTTTTAATAATCTAAGGCGATTGTAAGGTAGTGTTTGTTCAAAATCTTTCTTAGTCATTGACAACACACATACACCTTGCAGATGCATAACCTTTTAAGGAGAACAATATTCTCTTTAATCATTGAGGTCACTTGATGTGTTCAAGTTTGAGTCTTTCTCTCATATTTATTCCATTTGTTTTTCAACATTAAGATAGATATACACAAAATATTTCCAATTATAAATAATCTGATTAAATTTATTGAATTAGATTAAAATGAGGATTAAATTGATAAATAGTATAGATATTAAGGATTAAATGTGTAAGTATACCAATTTTTTAAGAGCTATGTCAACTATTTCGCTAATTGTTAACGGCTCATGGCTTGATTAGTGCACTTAAATAGTTAAGTGATCTAATTGATAAAATTTTAAAATCGATGATCAAAATAGAAATAGGCAATAATTAAGTTGTTATATGAATAAATTATCATTTTTATAACAAGCTTAATATTTATCAATATTTTAATAATTAATCAGCGAAAAGTTTACCAATATTTTAAGTTTTTTGTCAAAATCTTTATGTTGTCGTGCTGAGCTGTACGATGTGCAACATCCTCTCTCTCCATCTCTCTCTTGGCACCGGTGACGGAAAAATCTCCGGTCCGTGTGAGAGTCACTAATCTCATATGCTGCTAGTGTTCTCTAGCTCACCACCAAAACAAATCTCATCATTGTGAGTAGGTATACATTGCGGCCGAAGCGTGTACCACATAAGGTTCATTAGAGCGTGAGACAAGGTTCCCCCCCCCAGGACCAAACTCATTATCGAGTGAATATTTGATCAAGTAAAAAAGTACTGAATTAATTGAGTTGATGAATTTTTTTCTTATTATTTAAATTCATTTGATTTTTTATAGTTGAATTGTTCGTTATTTAAATTTAATTGTAATTATTTATAATATTATGATACATATTGATTTAAATTTAAATATTTTTTTAATTATATAAGATATATATATATATATATATATATATATATTTCTTAATATTTATTTTTACATGTACAAATAAGATTTATAATATTATTTTTTAAATGAAAGAATTTTGACAAAAATATATTGACGGAATTTATGGAAATAAAAATCTATAAAAAATTACGGTTAGAAGATTAAATTAACAAAATACAGTGTTGAAGGCTAAATTGGAAAAAAGAGGAGGAATTTTATTGTTTCAAGTTAAAATAAAAATGACATATGTCTTGTGTAGTGATAGAGGAGCAAGTGATTTAAGTTTTGTAAAAAAATAGAATTAAAACGTAAGGATATTAAAGCAATAAGAAAATCTTATAAAATTGTGAAACTAAATAAAAATTTATTTTAAAAAATAAAAACTGAAGTTACGTAAATATTTTATAGAGTTTAGAGACGTGTAGGTTAAATTCAATAAAATATTTTAAAATTGAAAATTTGAAGAAAAAAAAGAAAATTTAAGAGAATAATAAAACAATCAGATTGTTTAATTAAAATTATATATTTTTTATTATTTAAATTTCATAAATTAAATTTAAACTAAACTCAAACTCAAATTCAAACTTAAACTTAAAGTTCACAAATTAATTTAATACGAATAACATAAAATTTTAAGAGAATAACTTTTAACCAAATTAATTTTTTTTATTGGACACTCATCATTAAGAAAGAAATGCGACGAGCCGTTCGATATCTCTTACGGTGATCGGAATCTCTGATTTTGTAACCATCTCTATTCTCTAATCCATTTATATTAATTGTTAAAAATTCTTATAATTTAACAATTGTTAATAATTAGTTTAAAAAACAAAAACGGAAATTAAACTTCCTTCAAATAAAGTACAGATATTCAAGATACTCCTATAGAACAGCGATTCTTGCCATTTTGACTCTCCTTACCAACTGAAACACTTCTGCTTATCTCTGGTCTCTCGCTCTTTACTCTCCAACAATTTGCTTTCAAAATATTGTTTCTTTACAGATTTTTACATCTTTTTTTTTTAAATCTCACTTTCGAAGATTCTGTTTTGGAGATGAAGCCAGCAGGTCGGTTTCCGGTGAAATATATAGGGCAAAAAACTGTAACTAGTAAACTGGTCAAGCCGTCGAGCAAGCGGCTTCCGACGGTATCTAAAGCTAAAGCCCCTAAAATTGTCAGGATTTGTGTCACCGATGGGGACGCCACAGATTCTTCTAGCGACGAATGTGAACGGGCGAGGCATCAAAGGGTGAAAAGGCATGTAAACGAAATCAGGATCGAAGATTGTTCCGCTGTCAATTCCTCCAAGCCAGCTAGCAAACAAAACAGGCTAACATTTAATAAAAGCAATCAGGTAAATATGATACCAAAGAAGCAACAGCAGCAGTGTTTATCCAACGGCGTCAAGTATCGTGGCGTTCGAGAAAGGCCGTGGGGGAGATGGGCGGCCGAGATCAGAGATCCTACGAGTCGAACCAGGGTCTGGCTCGGTACTTATGACACAGCTGAGGAAGCTGCTTTGGAGTATGTCCGAGCCGCGATTCGAATCAAAGACCCTAATGCTCTCACAAACTTTACGAAACTTCCGGTGAGACCTTCTACACCGGAGGTTGATCTCGAAATGATTTCCGGGTATGAGTCGGCTCACGACTCTTCGGAGCGCAGCGAAAGCCAGTGGAAACCCCTTGACGAACTCCAAATAGAACACAGTAATTTATCAGATGAGTATTTATTAGCAGATCCAGGTGTTTTACGCGATCACTTCAATGCTGATAATCTTCAACCTATATTGTTTGATGAAATGAGTTTACCAGAAGACATTTTCGAACTTGATTATGCTGATATTTCTGTAAAATTAGATGTTGATTTCGGATCTTGTACATGGGATGTCGATAATTACTATTAAAACCAGTGTCATTTTGCCTAGATACAAACCTCAAGTCCTGCAATGATCAGGTAGATACCTCATAAATTCGGAGGGGAATTTTGGATACATTTTTCCAGTTCTCTTTTTGTGGGCGTTTTTCTCTAGTACAGTGTGTAAAGAAACGCGAAGAAAACATGTAAATTATACAATTTGATTCAACTAACTTTTGTTAAACTTCCTGTTCTAGGACATGGCAGGGTTGATAGGCCATGAATTGGAGATTAAGCTTGAGGAGTACAGTAGTGGGCAGCCTCCAAATGTAACACATTTCTTCTTTCCCCTTTTCTGTATGAAGAGAACTTTGAGTTTTATCACTAGTTCACTACTAGTGATGGTTGTAAATGGTCTGTTTGTGTGGTATAGACTACAAATTGTTCTTTCCCATCTTAGGTGTTATTATGGTTTATTCTAGTTAACAATGTTGAATTACATTATATTTACGTAATTTAAACTTTGATTTATTATTATGGATTTCAAGTTTGTGTCTTAATTAAAATTTATGGTTGTTAATTAGATAAAGCTAAATGATATTAAATTTAGGTGTTGTAGAGCATAAATTAAATATGCAAAATCAATTAATATTAACTAATGAAAGGTAATTAGCGACGTTTGTATAGAAAAACACTACTATAAATCTCAACCTTTTGCGGCGTTTGTTACAAAAGCGCCGCTATAGATCTGACCTTTTGCGGCATTTGTTCCAAAAACACCGCTATAAATCTCGATCTTTAGCGGCGTTTGTTCCAAAAACGCCGTTATAGATCTCGACCTTTTGCGGCGTTTATTCCAAAAACACCGCTATAGATCTCGACCTTTTGCGGCGTTTGTTCCAATAACGCTGCTATAAATCTTGACCTTTTGCGGCGTTTGTTCCAAAAATGCCGCTATATATCTCAACTTTTTGCGGTGTTTTTTGTTCTCAAACGCCGCTAACTTTAGCGGTGCTGGTATTGCCAGCGCTTCTTGCGGCATTTTTCTATCGCCGCGATTATTTTTAGCGGCGCTTAAAAACGCCGCTAAAGCTCTGTTTTGTTGTTGTGCTTCTTTTTAATTTAATCGGTTCGGTGTGCGGTTCATTTGGCATGGTCCTTTTGTTGTGTGCTTAGAGATTATGGCTTTTGTTCAAAATCAATTCTTTACTTTAGATCTTTTTTTCTTGTCTGTGTTTTTGATGGGAGTCGGTGAGATATTTTATTTTATTTTCCTTCATCATATCATATTTAATTTCGGGCACTGAAAAAGGCTGCCAAGATTAAGCTAAAGTTGGGGGCTACCATGTTCGACGGTTCGACACCTTAGCCACTCGTTAGCCATAAAATCTTGTTAGTTTCTGGGAGCCATTCTTTTCAAGCAATGGCTTGGCTTCCAATCCCGTCTCACATGTTCCCCCCTGTTTGATTTTCCTTGTGTCGATGTTTTAAAAGCCCCTTCAATCAAAAAAGGAAAAAACTATAATGACCCCGTTGGAAATGCAACACTTTGATAGCCTAAAAACAGTGCTCGTTAGTTACTTTCACTTCCCGGTTCTCGTGCTCTAAATTTCTTTGTCACGGTTAAGATTATGCTATCATGAATGGATTATGACTATCTCATGTGGTTCTCTTTAGTGAACTTAAATTCGAATAATTATGTTTATAATCAGTAAGCTCAATTAAAAGCATGCATTCGGCCGAGAAACTCTGAGCTGGTCAAACCCTCCTCCTGAGCCACTCGTGCAACCATTCTTGAATAACGGATAAAAAAATTCCTATATATGCATGCATTACCAATTTAAGACCTTGTTTGGGATTTGGCTTTTGTAGGTTACATATTTGTCTGGTAACTTAAACTAGGAGACCCTTAAACTATTCCAATTCAACTCCGTTTATTATGTGTTGGACAGCTTTTACTATGAAGAAGAAGCTTAACCATTATTATCAATCAACATTTGACACTGCTAGAACAAACTTATTCCATGAAACTTCACATCATCACTTCCGCATGCAAAGATTGTTGAATTTGTAGAATGATTTGAGACGAGTTTGGATCGGTATCAAAACACAGCAAAACAAGATAAGTAGAAGGTCTGTACTTTCATCTCTTTTTACTATCACCATGAAATTCGAGTACTGCTTGAAACAGTGGTTAACGTTTAAGCATTCTTTATGAAAGAGTTGAAGTGTTAATGGCTTGCAACTTGCAAATGATAAAGTGGAGGCAGAAAAGAAAAGGAGGTGTTATAGCCTACAACAAGTTGTAGCTTTTTGTCGGCTTCAGCTGACCTACGTCTGATATTGTCTATGTTTCATGCGACGATGCGTAGCACAGCACCAGTCGTCAGAATTCAATTCGGCGATAACTAATATCAATAAAGAGATGGGGTGAGAAATGATAATACTCGGTCACGGTGTAGCCAAGCAGGTCATATAAAACTGCATGCGATATCCAAGGCAAAGTTGTTGATTGTAACCAGCTACCTCAGCTACTTCGTTAGTGGCGTTAAATGTGTTAAAGAAGGCTTATTACCCTAGTCTTTAATGTGTGGTAAATTATCAATCATCGAATAACATTTAAATTTAAATATTGAAGATGATATTATTAAAATAATATTTATAATTTAAAAAAAAGCTCCCGAAAAAGTTAAAAAGGGGGGAATTTTAGTACATCGAGATTATACCTAGAGACTGATTCTGGAGGTCTTTTTGACTCTTATGATCACGTGAATGGCACGAAGTGTTAGCCCTTACAGTCCCAAGCTTACTGGGCTTGAGTCCACCTGAACATTTGCTCAGTGATAACAGCCTAACAGGTTCGCCCACAAAATCTCTGTTGCATTACATGGACAAATGAGATCGAAGGAAATGTGGCATGCTACGATTACTACGTAAAAAGTGGCGGTCATATTAAATCTCAACCACTCATCACGATGAAAGGTGAAATCAAAGAAGTAGGACCCACTTCACCTAAAATTTTCATTTTCTAATACCCTTAAAAGCTGTGCGGGATTTGATTACGTAGGGTGAATGCTAGCTTATCAATCTTTGTGGGTCCTATATTTATTTTTCTTACTTTATTAACATCTAATTTATTATTGTAATACAATAAGGGAAAATTTAAGGTTAAGGGAACTCGAGCGTATTGATATTGATAGGTTCTTGATCATGAACCCCAAAGTATACCTGGTCTCTTTAAATGATAGTTTTCTCATCCTTTTTGCTTTCCGTTCATTTTAGTGGCTGACCAGTGGAATCACATACTTCAGTATAATGCAAACAAAATGTCAACAGTAGCTGCATAATTATATTGATCAACATTATTTTTGTAAAATATAAATTTAAGTGATCTATTATTTAAAAATTATATCAAATCTTAGGTTGTAGTGGGGTTATCAGATTTGTTCACTGTGGAACTGAGTATTATAATAAAGGCTCCTCCACAGGGACCAAATTGATTGTTGCATCTCCCAAATATGAAATATTTTAGTATAATAGTATTTTTTAGTTTAAATATTAATTAAATAAATTAATAATTAGTTGGTCTAGTGTATGAGACATTAGATTCTTTAAGCAAGATTAAGAGTTCAAATCTTGGCGTTTGCATGTGGAATAAACTAGGTTGAGAGGGTCGCCATTGTCTCTACAATATCCGATTGAATTAATTAATTAATAGATCATATATCATTGATTAATTCAAATATTAATTAAATAAGATTTTGTTCCTCTTATGAATGAGAATCTATCTTTAATTATTGAATTAACTATTAAGTGCGATAATAATATTTTATTATACATCATTTTAATATTATATTAATTTTAATTAAAAATTAGTTAATTTGTCAAAGTGGTTAATGTTAATATAAGTTCTAGGTCTCAAGTTAATTTAATCTCCAATCTAATCCATATTTTACTACAAAATCTTGCATCTACTAGGGTTTAATCTAAACATATTTTTTGTCAGTTATAAAAACAAATATTAAGATTGGTGCAACTGTTAAGTGTTAAACTTCCTAAAAGTTTTACAATTGATCCCTCGAAAATTTAATTTATATATATATTTTTAATTTTCACTGACATGTATTAACATTTTATTAAATGTGTTATTATCCTAATTAAAACCAAGTCATGTCATTAATTATGTTAGTGACTAACAACAACTTGTGGATAGATGGCTTAATTGAAATCAAATCAAAAGTTAAATAATTTAATTGATATAATTTGTGTTTAGTGATCAACATAGAATTTACACCATATTTTAGTGACCTAAAAGGTAATATAGCCTTTTTGTATGTCCTTTTGCTTCTACAAAGAGCCAAACCACTGTACATTAAATCGGTAGACAACAGAGTATCATGGTTTTCCAGTTCACCGGCATCAAGCTCATAGGTAGCTTATTTCTTGTGGCAAACAGGTCCAGTGAAAATGTTTAAGGAATCGATTCCTAGCACATCACAATTATGTGTCCAACGTTGTACATGATGGAACCTAGGGTTTCAATTTTTTTAATTGAAGAAAATCATAATCATGGGTAAAAATCTTGTATAATGAGTGATAATGAGATGCTATTTTGAATTCCTTGTGGTTGATGAATGGAATGCCATTATGGTTCATACATGGATCCATGAGGGATGGGTTTTATGAGATGGAGGATCATAATTGAGACGGTGGGGTACGAGCAGCTAAGCTTCTCAGTTCCGAACACAAACTTTGCCCTGAAACCAAACAAGACACCCACACAAAGAAGAGAAAAGCAATCGAAATGATTTTGTCCAACCACCTGATTTGCGAAGAAAAAGTAGAGACCCGAGCCCTACCTTCCATTCTTTAATGTTCCAAAACAATATCAGCTTCTGCAGGTAAGGTACGTAATTTGGTTGGCCATTTGAGGCAAGGGATTGATTGTCGTGCCATCAGTTGAGAGGTTGCTTTTGCATCTGCACAACAAAATTGGAGTACAAGGTCAAAGTGGCAGCAGATCTAACTGAGTCGCGTCATTAATCATAA